CACAAAAACAAACATAAAAAAAAAACACACACATCATTGTAAAATCAATACATTCATCACTTCGTTCAGCATCTAAAATTGTATTATATACAAAATATAAGACTAACGTGTATTTTGAAGTTTGAATAGTTTCGTTATATACCTATTATATTTAAATTTCGTAAAAAATGGAAGATAAAAATGATTATGCATACTGAATCATTGTACAATGAAACAAATTTGTAGCTTGGTTTTCATTGTGTTACTTGTAATAATAATAAAAATCTTACCTCTACCTAAAAATAACAGTACCTAGGTACTAATATCAACTGCACGTTTGCACGTCACAGATATCATAATTCCATAACGTATAATCATATTATAATTACGTAAATTTACTCGCCCCCGATTATAATAATTATTAATTTTAGTAGTTACAATAATACTAATTTTTTTACCTGATACGTGAAACGTGCAATATTGGAAATTCATGTTKCATATTAAAGATAAGCCCCTCTCACTATCCACTATGAGCAATTCGTTTTCGTAGTAGATAACTGTATCGTTCAGTTGCAGTGGCAGTTGTTTGATACTGTCGGGAAAAACTCTCACGTCCTGAAGCATAAACAAAGAAATGAAGACAATTTCAATGTAATTTTTGTATAATATACCTAAGTTGTTTTGGTTATTATTATTATTATTATTATTATTATTATTATTAGTAATATTATTAATAATAGTTATAATAGTATTTTATCATATCGTGAAGCCGGATGATTCACCAAGCACACTTACCCTAATTTTTTTTTTTAGTAATGAATTTATTCAAATTATAATTTTTGAAATTATAAAATATTCTCAAAGATCATAAATCTTTAAGTTTTCAAATCCTTGAGATTTTTGTACTACTTAAGGAGTGTCCTGTTGCGAAACAAACTTCTGTTTTTCAAATGAGAACCCCCTTTTTAACTGTTAAATTTTTATTAGTTATTTTTTTAAAAATATTTTGATGCACCTAATTTAAAATTTGAATAAGTAGTTTCTTAGTTATTACATTGTTTATAATAAGGATAATAGCCGTTAAAAATCGTTTTACAAAAGTATAATATACACGGAACTAGTATTTATGTTATATAAGTCGTTTTTACAAATTATTTAAGTTGATAGATTAATTTTGATGACTAATATTTTCAAATCCAACACATACCACACATTTTATAAGTTTAAACCATGGACCTTTTATCCTTAGAACACAAAGTTAAATAATTCAAAAACTACACATTAGAATTTTGATTTAAATACATCAAAATTCTCAAAAAAATAAATATCTGTTAAATAGTGTAAAAAATGTGGGTTCTCATTTGAAAAACAAAAGTTTGTTTCGCTACAGGACACTCCTGAAGTGTTACAAAAATTTCAAGAATTTKAAAACATAGTCTTCGAGATTTAAAGATTCCAAAAATCAGATTTTGAATCTTGAATAACTGCATTATTAAAGGAAAAAAGGCGGGTAAGTCGTGTATGTCGCTCTGCTGTAGGTACAGTAGGTTACAAGTGGGTTACTGTAATGGATGGATTTAAATTTGAATCCAATGATATTATATCATTGTATACGAAAAA